ATGTTGAAGCGTGAAGAATATCCATTATTATTTAAAATAGCCTTTTGACTCTTCCACTGTGTATAACGTCATATACCCCATGCTTATCTCAAATATGTTGCAAATCTGTCGTTTCTGCCTTAATCTAGCAAAGACAAAATCACGCCTTGCAGTCATTATCTGTTACTGAACTGTATATTGTTAAACGTATCCTATTACCAAGATAATACTCTTAGAATGATATTATCAGCATAACAGTTTGTCTGATTGGCAACATGTTGTTGATATTTTTGCAATAATATTTCAGCAATTTATGGGGTCTCCGTGTAAAGCCTTCCTGTCTCCTATTGTGCCCTTCTTTTATCGATTTTGAACTCGAAATATGGTTTTACTGACTCTTTAGTACTCGCTTTTTTCTCCAAAAGCTTATCTGTTATGTATTGATATTAAGTGGAATTTTACAAGGAATAATTAACATTTTATATGTATATTATAATTAGCGCTATGCATATAAAATTGGTCCTCTTCTTGCGCTTTAATTTGTCTATATCGTAATTCTAGTCACCTTATTAATAAACACAACAGGTAAATATTGAAGATCTTAATTTCAGTATAACGTTTTTTTCTTTTACTCGATGGTAACAATATTATGTTTTCCTTTCTCTTTTGATATCTTCTGTTTTTGTTGTTGTCGCTGTTTTTACATGGAGATAATTAACCCTGGTTCATTTATCAATTAATTTCCTTTTTGCCGCCATTAATTAAGGATTTTCGTCTTGATACAAAATGAAATGATTCCAGCAATGACTTGATATTAAACCATCTAACATATAATTACAAGTCTGACGAGTGACGAATGACTATTTTTTGTTGACATTACATAAGAGTTATTGTTACCTATATAGGTAATATGTAAGTGTCTAAGTATGATACAATAAAAGTGTTTAACATTTGCGAATTCAAAAACAATGTTTTGTACTTTGCAAGTCACAAGAGGTAATGCAAGAGCACTTCTTATTCCAATTTGTGTTAGGTGATATCATGACTTAGCGCAGCACTTAACGCTGAACGCCTAGCTACACCTCAGCAATCCACATGTTATAATACAGAATAAATAACAATGCAGTTCCGTTACACAAATCAACAAACACATGTGGTCAGCCTTTCAGGACTTTTGATTTCGGTGGTTATGTGTTATATATAGACTTGAATAGTGATATTGACCTCTTCTCAGTTAAAATTGTTTCTGAGGTTTACAATTATATTACATATTCACCTCAACACAAGTTCATAACTAAAACTTAGTCACACCATATCATTTACTACTTTATATGTCAAATGACAAGGAAGAGAATAAAACAAATAATAGTTTAAGTTTTAAAGTTAACAAAGTTTGAACAACCGGTGATTTCTGTTTGTCAACAGGTTGGTTTTAAAATTTTGAGTCAAACGATAGCATACTTTGGGACGAGGCAAATTTATTTTTAGATTATTACATGTTTACCATGTGAAAGAACACATTTATTAATACATGATAATTACAAAAATTATGTATGTAGATGTACGTGTTTGTGAAAAAAGCTTAATAAAACGTTGATTTTTCAGAAAATGCAAATGATGAAAACATTTTTATTTCGAAGCGACTACAATACGTTAAAACAATCGACTGAACCAATGACATAGCTATAAGCTTCACATAACACCACTGTCATATGATAAATGCACACTATAGTAAGTGTACGTAATGTATAAAGTAAATGAAGTGAATTCCATAAGTTCCAAAATTTAGAGAAACATATGATGTTCTTAACATCCGGAAGTCAAACAAATCTTACACATATGCACAACACTTACTGTGCAAAACCATAAACGTCATTATCTGATGCAGGCACTGCGGCCATGATGGATGCCACGTGCTTTGTTATCTACATGTGACCTAGTTATTTTGAGGTCGTTTGCCCGGGAAGACCTCGTTCAACTATACTGTATCAAGTTACTGGCGAATGTCTACAGAACTACGATAGTAAACTATCTGATGCCTCAGTACCATCAGATGTATAAGTTCAACAATGGTGTATGGAACAATGAACGTCCGAAGAATGTTGTAATGGTGATGTCTTTAATTGGTAGGGGTCTTTCTAAGGTAAAAAAAAAAACAATCTTCACTTTGAAAAGTAAAATCTGGCTAGCCAATGTGTACTGAACAAATTGCTGTAATTGTCCATGAAGACAAACCACCAACACTAATATTACTGATAAGAAGCAGACCAGCTCAGTGTAATTACTTTTGGACTGGACCCATTATTTATGGCCATGGAAGGTGTTTTTTTTTTATAGTTTAGCTAGTACAAATAATACATGACTGTACATTATAATTGACACCAACAATTTGCGTTACAAAACTTTGCAGAACACGAAACGTTTGTCAGGATTTTGAATAACGTTTATTTCATTATAATTTTCGTACAACGCCCCCATGTTTGCATATCCAAGCGAAAATTAATTAAACGCTTTAATAACATACGGCGTGTTATACTATATAATCATGCTGAAGTCTGGCCTTCTCCCTTATTGAAGAACACCCCTTATAAAACACGGCCTCACGAGTCATACAAAACGCTGACAGCGTGAAATTTAAGTCAGTTACAACAAGCTACAATTCTCCATAAACTCGCGCAACTTCAGAAGTGTAAGATTTATATGGGTTTTCTACTGGTTATCTCGTGTCTTATCGCCACGGTAGCAAGAGAGGAGAGCTACTTTACGACGGCATGTCAGCAAACTCGCCGGTCGACCTGAGTTCTCCTGATTGTTTTAACCCTATAATTAATGGCACCACTCAATAGTACATCAAACTCGACCGAGATAATTAAACAAACATATATACATAGAGGATAACATATAACATCAAATTGCTTGAACTTGCATTTTCACAATTTGTAATTATATTTAAGTTTATACAGTTTAATTTAACGATAAATGAAAAAATGTACTGGTTTAATAGTCAAGAAAGACGATCAAAGATTTTTTATATAACTTCACTTAAGTAATGATGGGCGTATATAGATCTACATTAGCATATTTCTAGCAACCTTTAAATATAAAGGCCGCACAAATGTCGGGCTATAACGTTTTTGTTCTATTTTGTTAGTTGTATTGAAGGTTGATGGAAGGGACCCTTATGCGGAAGAACAAAATGTCCAGATGGATTGGTCGTTGCGAAACTATAATTTGGTTATTAATTGGGAGATCTTACATCTGTAATTTTTCCCGATCGGACATGACCACCACAGCCTTTAAATGGTGGAGTATAGTTGAGGTTGATATATGGGGGCGCTTGTATAATGCTCTCCTTGTTTGAGGAGCAAAATTGGCATTTTAGCTAGATGACTGATCTCGACATACCTCTAATAATGGGTGAGATATTCAAGGGAGTTATATTGGTCCGATATTGTTTTTTCTTAGAGGAAGTAAAAAAAAATATGAATATTTGTGTACGATTTGAAAATGGCTGCCATGTCCTATAATTGGCCAACATATTTACGGCTATAACCAGAGTATTATTTGTCCAACTTTATTCTTACATGGCTGGCGCAATACACAGTGGGTAAACATCACATCCAAGGACCGATTTCAAAATTGTTCAGTTTTCAGGATAACAGCCACGGAGTTCTATATTGATACCCCGAATACACTTATTTCTACCTTAGAGAAAACACACGCGAGGGGGTCAGGGATGATTACTTAGGGGGAGTGGGACACATTTAGAACTGTCTTACACTCCTGTTCTCATCGTATGGATCAATCGCTTAACATTGAATTTGAGAAATAATGCAAAGTTATATAAGGTTTTAAAGGTGATCATTCTGTATACAGAGAAATGCAGTTGTTAGCAATGACTATTTACAAGTACAACATCCATATAATTGTTTTTATGAAGGATATGACTAGTAATACCATAACCAATGTCAAGGTCATGCATGGGAGGAAAAAGTAAAATACAGTTTTGTGCATGACTACTTTGAGAAAAATGCACCATGATGTAAAACTAGGGTTCAAGCACTGAGTTTTAAATTGTCGACGTGGCCAAAACTTATTTTCAAATACTGACTCTAACGTTGTTATGTTAACCTATTCTTAGACACATTTAAGGAAAAAATAACTATGTGCTTATTCTGAATAACAAACAATGTGATCATTGTGTACCATTGATCTGTAAGGGTCACATGGGTAATCAAACCTCCGATACGATTGCAAATTTTGTTGATCTTTGCAACTTTTCAGAAGTCGTTGAGTTTACACGTCATATCCGGTTTATTGAAAATGCTTAACTATCTACACAACTATTTTTGATAACTTGGCATTTACAGATTAATGTAAGCAGAACCATTATCTTGAAAAGCAGCTGTATATGAATGTTACCAATATTTCATTTTCTATCAAGGTCATTTAGAAACGCATGAAACCCAGACAAAAATTGTCCTACGTGTCTCAACCGATATGCAAAATGTCAATAGATTGGAAGTTTTAATTCGGCGTTCACTTTTAGCTTAAATTGTTAACACTTCATCCAATTCCTATTTGGACCCATACGTGATTTTAGATTATTTAATTGGTCCTAAAAATTAAAAACTAACGATATGTTGGTAAAAATATTGTAAGAAGAACTTTGTTAAATTAAAAGTATGTTTGCAATGAATATACTTAATCTAACTTTATTTTTCCAATATCCTTTTCAAGAATTTAATTGTCCATTCTCCAATTTAAAATCGACTCAATAAAGGTGTATAGGATGGCATCAGTGCCGCATTGTAAAATAACGGTATAGATACACTTTAAAGTAGTCATTAGAATAATATACATAAGTGATATTTTGATACAATAATAATTACAGTATGAAAAAGAAATCTCATTCAATATTCACCACCTGGTGCCACGAAATAGTGTGACAACGATGCAAGATGGCGGTCGGTTTGTGATGTGGCGACTGTCGCAAGGTATTATGGGTATTGGCTACTCACCTGCATTCCCTTGAGCGGATGAAGGCACTGCAAAAAATAGCAGGATAGAAACGAGAGCTAATTCCATGTTTATACTAAACGTAGTCCTGGAAAAACTTTGTAAAGGTTTTCTCATTGTTTTGGAGTTCACATAAGATTTTCAAAAAAAAAGTGCTATTCTTGTCACCTCCGGCTATGTTTAGTGTCCTCGCACCATTTCTTCCTGTTCCAAATTTCCAGAAAGTCTTTTACAACGAAAAGACTTTCTTTTGCCACGTGTCACAAAATTTGTCAAACGTATCGGTTTTATAGTGACTACCGACTCTCGAACCCCGATCTGTAACGGTCGGAGCGAGCTACAGTAACCACTATACGAGTCTAGGACTAGGCGCCACCAACACTATACCAACAAAATCAGCTTTTCTCGTCCTGATGACGTAGTCAAAAATGTGTCAGTTTGCCTGTTTCAGTGGCTGAGTTTGCAGGCGGAGAGAGGGAGGGAAGCGGGGCAACCAGGCAGGCAGTCTCCTCACTCGTACACTCAAATCACTCATAAAATGTTAGGGAATACCCTGTAACGTTGATAAGCCGAAGCCTGGAGCAAGCTCTGTGGCCCCTGACCCCCCGCTCACATATTGGCAGACACCGTATCAGATCTTTTTACAAAATCTTATTTTTTTCTCTCCAATACCGTCTTCCATCGGCCCACTTTCTTTATAGATCGAGTTTCGGGTTTCTGTGCTTTAGAAGGAGTTTTCTAGAAGAGAAACACGTTAGAACCACAATTTAAATTTGAAGATGCAAATCGTGCAAACATGTAAAATGAATTCTCTAGAATGGAATTATATTATATATCATTAAAAAAAACTTGTAAATATAAATACGTGCACCAAATACGAGAGCCAATATTTTTGTTGTTGATGCTATTACTTTATTTCTTTCTTTTTCTAAAATATGTTCCTAAGTATCTTTGTTATTGGTATCTTTAAGTTGCTTTATCATTTGTTTTGATTGACATTAATAAAGTATATGGAATTTTTGTATACAAAGTATTGTAATTTTCACAGTAATGAACCATCCGATCTTAGCATTCGAAAGATCATAGCTTCATTTCTAAATATTCTGTATATTTTGGGGATAAAAAAACTAAATGAATTATATCACAATTTGACTGAGTTATTTTAATAAGCATGACAGGGCCGTGTATCAATGATATGAATAGATCCAGTAAGACACAATCATTCAATGAATACACATGAGTACCTGTTTAATGACAGTTCGATTAAAATGTATATTAGATATTTACAATATGAGTTTTAAAAATATGTTTTATTTTACTTATGTACAGAAAAGGACAAATGCATATTCATTTTTTCTTTATTGGAAAATGATTATTATTATTTTTTCACTTTTTGATATATTGGTATCGTTCGTACTAGCAGCCTATGTGTTTTTTGTCTTTGATGTAAGCCTATTTCAATCGCTGCGGATCTGTTTGCCTATTACAAGCGTTGTTAGCCTGACCAGACCATACACGGTACATATGATATTGGCAGTCTGTGTATGATCAGATCAACGTGCACAAGTGATGCTGCAACATCTCTGGTCTGCTTCCAACCCAGTCAGCAGTTCTATCAACAAGGCCAGTCATTGCCTGAAATTGTCTCTCGCAGCAAACGGGGACCGAAAATACCGTATATTTATGTTTATTTTTAAGCATGTTTTAAAGAATAAACTATTAATAGCTGTGAAAGTAGCAGCACCGGGATTTTGTGTAACCTAACAAGACTTGGAACATTGGTTGAATAAACTATCACAGTTCATCTGATTTAAGGATATGCAACCCTAAATCAAGCAAGTAGATATTCCAATCCGTACTTCTAATGCTTTTCATATGTAAAGAAACTGACAATACATTTGAGAACTTTGCACCTGTGAATTACTTCTATCCTCCCCTCTTCTTATGTCTCCTCCCCCTCCAACCCCTCAATTTTACCAAATAGTTAGTAGGACCTCGTGTGAAATGGAACAGAGAAATATTTGTGTTGTAGGTCAGGACATTCGATACTTTTTTTGGGAGTTGAAGCACTCTCTTACAGCTTCTGTACCATTTATCAGCTGATCCAAAGTAACACCAGTGTTCCCCGAACATCATGCAAGGTGGTCCGGCTTCATTAATACATCGAGGCTTATCTTTGTATGTCTGTACTGAAAAAGTGTTTCATACAAAAAATTATACTTTATGTGTCGTGATATTAAACATTATTTTTCTAACAACAAAAATCATCTTCATGCGAGTGCTTAACATTTCAAAATAATCTTATTGATAAAAAACAATAGGAAATTAATTCGGAAAAGTTACGACTGAATAAGAACAGATATTATTGTATAGCAATACCAAAATATAGAAAATAAAACTCTGAAAATTGCCTTTCTTAGCCTACCAACAATCCCGTAATCTACGATAGAGGAATATCTCCACGTCTGTAGAACGAGAGGGTGGGTGAATGACCCCCTACACAGAAACACACATAGCCTTGTTCAAACAGAGGCTCTATCTCTCCCCTGTGTAGAAGATACTGACACCACATTGGTTATATGGACGTTTTTATTTAAACGTTCGTCCGCGAAATGCATTTTATGTGTTTTATTTGTTTCTTGACTTTGGCCACGCCAGTTAAATAGTGTTCGGTGTTTTCATCAGGAACACGTGGTCTGTATGAATTCCCGCTGCATGCTGGGGTCATTCGTGGCCACTCTGGCAACATTTTATCTGCACAATAACATTAAATACTTATGTCTTATATGCTACAGCTTTTGTGTTATACTTCAAAATATTCGTGACACTTACTGCAGTTTTGGTCGTATCTACTTTAAAGTGAATATTGCATTTTATAAATTATGATAAATTTGGCTGACTTTGCATTTTATTTAATTGAAACAAGCCGTGCCGAACCCCAGTTGTTATAAAAGTGCTGACACTCGCTTGAGAGCCACAGGTCTATCCCTCACGACACGCCGTCCCACACTGACATCACGCGCGTACATTTCGTGTTAACATATCCTCTAACACTTAAAGGGACATATTTTCCAGATATTTGTCGGTCATAAATTATTGAGCGCACCGATTTATAACTTATAAACTCCCCAAAATGAAAAAAAAAACATTGTTTAAGCTTATTATTTGAAAACAAAATATCCAAATATTCTCAAAAAAGATAATTGTTCCTTGTAGACACCTATCTTGCGTCAATGTACATTAGCATCATCTGAAATTAAAGAAATCAACATGTATGAGAGGTTATTACTGAAAACAAAATGGAAAACATCAGATCAAATATCACTGGGAAATGTGACTTATTAGAAAAAAATGGTTGAAAATTGTCCGGATATGACAAACAAAATTGATTAATTATGAGCAGAGAAAAGCCTTAGTTTTAGCCATTTGTTAGCCCGATTTTGTTTATATCTAAGGTAGGAAAGACTTAAAAATATATTTGATCGTAAATAATCAACATACTGAATTAATTTATGCATTCATGCATTTATGATGACGTATATTTCTACAAGCTTTATATCTAATTCGGGAGCTCTTTAAGAAGTTATATAACCACATAACAGCTGTTTCCATCGATATCAGGAGTGTTGGAGGTGAGAAGGACGGGACAGGGAGGGGTCGAAGAATCTCGGGATTGGTTTGCCTTTTGAATATGAATTCAGTTGTGGTTTTCTCTCTCAAGGGTCTCACGTTAGATGTGTGCTGTTTGCTACATTGTGTATATGTGAATAACGTTTGCTGATATATAGGCTAGTTCATGGTTAAAACAAAGAAAATCGCTTTCTTCATGTGCATTATTCTTTTTAGAGAAATTGAACGAATGCCAAAACTTTCAAAGGACCTATTAAGGTAGTGGGACAAGAAATAATTAAGACAGATTCCATTTATGGGAGTTTCTTTACTTCACTTCGTTTTCTAGTGACTATTCTGATTATGGAATGGGTTGTATATTTTTTTATGATAGTTGTAACCACTGTAGCATCGAGGATGGTTGTCATGATATTTGAAAAAGCTTCAAGCGTTATAATCTACATAAAAAACAACTTATTTTTTGTTTGGAAAATATTAGTAATACTGCTTATTCCCCATCGACACATTCTAGAGACGAAGTAATGACCATTTATATATCATTTAATGCATCAATTATCAGTCCCTGTGGAAAAATGGAAGAACATCTAAATTGCATATTTTGTATAATAATCCATTGTTCAGCTAACACTCTCTACAAAACTCTAACCCTTATATGGAATGCGATATTAGACGGATTTTCAACTATTTATTTACGCAGTGTTACTACAATCACTTCATTCATATCTCAAAGAATTGTTATATCAATCGTTTCCGTTTGAATCCGGCAAACGTACATACAAATTAATAATATTCCACAGAAATGAAACGTTGATCAGATGACGCAGACACAAATATCTTGTAAATAGAAACACATAATTATTCTGTTAAAACATCGACTGGTAGCAAGAGTTACAGGTCACTGAGGACGATGTTGGATTTGGTTTATTTCTTTTGTTGTTGTTATAAACGTTCTTATTTAAATTGGTACTCTTTAATCGATTATTTCAATTGTTTGTATCATATTAATATCTCTTTTAGGTAGTAATTCTGTTATATATTGTCATACTGGAATAATACTTGTTGCATTGCGAATCCTCGTTTGCATTTGTATATTCATAAAAGTTTATCAGTGTCGTATTCATAATTCATTAAAGCATAAACATATTTTCATTTGCTCCATAAATAAATCTATATTTCGTGTTACTCTGCTTTGTTTCTGTAATTACAAAACATGTTTTATGACACGATGGAATCCTCAAATCTATACAATTACAATTATTTCGATTAATTGAGCATCGCAACAAGTACATAATGTATGTTTTGTGACATATTTTTTTTTAGTTTACCCAGGACAAAACCCGAACACAAGAGTCTATACATACGCACAGCATAGAGAGCATGGGATACACCACATTAAAAGGACAGGCATTCGGAACAAAAATTATGTTTGAGACAGATGTGTTAGGACTATTTACGGTACACGTATGTAAAAGTAACGATGCTTTTACAAGTGACGGGATGTGGAATTGATGTCCAGTTGAGATATAAGACGATAAGACATATTGTAGAAAGCGGTAACTATCGAACGTGTTTTCGTCATCGTCTTCATTTGACCCGCTGTAAAATATGGACATCAAAGAACTGTATACCGTGAAACTTTCAGCCAGTACAAATGCACGTTTTACGTATGGAAAAACACGTGTTACTGTTTATAATAAGACGACGCTAACATTTTGTATTTTCCATACCTTTATTTAACGCTTATATTTCCTCGCACTGACTACAATTTTCAAAGAACATGAATAATAATTAAGCGCAACGGCTTCATATCTGGTATAAATTCGATTATAATGCCAAATAATGAACATTTTGAAAATATTAACACCAAGAAAACAGAAGAAAAATCACTGGTCTTAAAC